AAATAGGAAAATTCTTGTAGAATAAGGGTATAAAGAAAGGAAAAATATCTTTGTACAGCTGTACAATGTGTTTTAAGCTAAGTGTTATTACAAGAGTCAAAAGGCTAAAAGAAATTAAAAAGGTTATAACGTAAGCTTAGGTTAACCTGTTATTGAAGAAAGAGAAAAATTGTATTTTTTATAAATGTCGTGTAGGTAGCCTAAGTGTATAGTGTTTGCAGAGTCTGCAGCAGCGCACGGCGCTGTCCCGGGCCTCCACTCCCACTCAGGCAACTTCCTCTCCTGCAAGCTCCACGCACGGCAGGTGCCCTACACAGGTGCACCATTTTTCATCTTTTCTGTTGTATTTTTGCTGCGCCTGTTCTGCGTTTAGATACACAGACACTTTGCATTGTGTTACCGCCGCCTGCAGTGTTCGGTGCAGCATCACGCTGCACAGGTGTGTCTCCCGGGAACAACAGGCTCTGTCATACCGCCTAGGCGTGTAGTGGGCTGTATCATCTAGGGCTGTGCACGTGTTCTTGTGTTCCTGCTCGACGCAACTGCCTAGTAACACGTCTCAGAACATGTCCCATAGTTCAGTGACGCATGACTGTAGTAAATGGCTTGCCAGCCTCGGGGTGTGCTTTGCGGTGTGTCCGTGGAGGGCGCGGTGCCGGGGAGCAGGAGCCGTGCCGTCAGCCACCGTCTATCACGGAGAGACTCTCCACACTGGGAACGCCGGATCTCACCGGCCAGCTTTAAGAGCCTGGGTTTCTGATGCCCGCAGAGCTCTAGCCCTGGCCTTCCCTCCCGGCTGGCGGGGGAGCTCTTCCTCGCGTGAACCTGGGCATGGAACGCTCCCTTCCTTCCGCTTGTTTTTAAAGGTCTCCGAGTGACGTTTCCCTTATTTCCTCAGCCGTGTGAGAAGATGCGGTTCTGTGAGGCCCGCACTCCTCTCCCGCGGCACCAGGAAGACAGCGCGGGCTCCTCTAAGGCGTGTGAGCAGGAGCCGTCTCCGGCCAGCGAGAACGCGCCTTTCGTTCCTGGTGACACGTTGAGAAGAAGTTTCGGTCAGCGCGAAACTGACTGCAGGCTGTCGATGGGTTTGTGTGGCATAATCCAGCGGTTTCCAAGTGTCCTGAAGAAAACCAGCATTCTTTACGATTCAGCAGAGTTTGTGTGTGGGGAGGCGGGCAGGATGGCGGTTGGTTGCCAAAAACGTTTAGGGAACGCTGAACTGAACAGAAACACAGCTGGAACGTTTCTTTCATTTCGGGGTTTGCGACTGGGAGCCCCGTGTCCTCTGCGACTCTCCTAGCAGGAGACAGTCTTCGGGACGTTTTGTGTTATGTGATCAGGGCCCCATCCCGGTTTTCTCCCAATAGGGTGCCGTTCACAGGGTCTGGGAGGCACTCCCTGAAATCCTCCCCGGCCCTGCCACCCCCTCAGCCCCGCCTGCCTCCCGGTGCCAGGTGTCTTCCAGCCTCTGAGTGCCCACCTTCCCTCTCTCCTCCCCCTGCAGCTCAGCAGAAGGGCTCTTGGCCCCGTTTCCCTCGAGAGAGTGGCATCTGTCCCCACCCCCAGAGAGCCTCATTTCCACTCGAAGATGTGTTTGTCAGTGGCTAGACCAAGCTTACGTCTTTTCCCCGCTGGGGAATTCTGAAACCCTCCTGGTTTGCGGCACAGCGGCACACACCGGGCTTTCTGCAGTGGTGCTCGGGGTGAAGGCGGACGTGCCCGAAGAGCCCAGGCTGGACAGGGCCGCCTCCCCCTTCCCAGCGGCTCTGTGGCAGGCAGTCGGGGAGCGGTGGGGGCACGTACCTTAAGATTTCTCCAGTGTTTGACTCTTACTCTGTTTCCTGAAATAATTAGAGAATAGTGGCTTAATGAAAAAGAGACTTGTGTACCTCGAATCCTGCAGGATGCCTGCTGAGATCTGTCCTTAGCTCACACGCATTCCAGCGTGGGGGACACCATGAGTGCAGACCCCGGCACGGACACGAGCGTTTTGGTGCGTGTGCATCCGCCTGGCTCGTGGATGGCAGCTGGCTGCGTGTGTGCTATGGCGGGGAGAGAAGGGCGTGCGGGCAAGAGGGCGGGAGCTACCGTAGGGAAGGGGCAGGTAGCGTGCTGAGGTCCAGCGTTGCTGCCGCTGCTGCCCCGCCTGGACACTGCATGATGCGAAACGAGCATGTGGTGGTCACGGGTCTATGAAGACTGTGACTGAGGTTCGGACTCTGTTGTTTTGAAAGCATTTAATGTTCTTGGACACAGCTTTTAGTGGAACCCAGACAGTAATAATTGTGATGACTTTGAACCCTTTGGGGAAAGACCTTGGGTGTGAGTGCATAAAAGTAAACAGAGGTTTACTGTATTTCCGTATGCTTGGGTGTCAGTAACATGCTGTTCTTCCCAGTGGTAGCACCGTGTTCTGTGTGAACACGCGTGACCCGGGAGACTCCCCAGCCAGCATGCCCAGCTGTACCCATCCATGCGTGTTCACACGCACAACACAGGGACACACAGCTCCTGAGCAGAGCATGGCTGCACGGGGCCGCGTGTCCGGGCACACGGATGTCCGGGCTCAGCCTGCACATCCCACGGCACTCAGCCCCCAGGGCCACCCCATCACCCTGCGCCCCCCGTGCAGGACACGCAGGGGCTCCCCGAGACGGCACCTGTTTGGGGTTTTCCTGAGGCTTGTGCTCTCACAGCTCTCTTTGAAGCAGACGTCTTGGTGAACTTTGTAGACTCTTTTGTACCTGTCGTCACAAGAAAGGTTTGTAAAACCAGACGGGGAAGCAGAACGTTGCCCACTGATTAACCTCGGCTGTGTGGACCCCCGGGGAACATGACGGTGTTTGAGGGAAGAGCCATTATTTTCTTGATTAAATATTGCCTCCTATCGGTGTATTAAAATGTCCAACATAAAGGTCCTGTGATTTTTTAAAAAGTTTACTGGTGCATGATACACATAAAGGATATCCATTTTAGTGTGCATTTCGATGAGCACAGACAAAGTCCTATGATATTAAAAGATAAAATGGGAAATTTCAAAGACATGTCTTTGCTTGAGGCAGCCACGTGGCCCAAGGCCCTGGGGAGGTCTGACCCACGCTTCTGCTTCATGGGTCGTCTGTGGAGAAGCTCGAGAAGCCCAGGGCTGCGGGTGTGCGCGCCGCGGAGCAGAGGCCTGATTTCGAGCCCTGCCTCTTCCCTTCATTAACTGGGGGACTCTTGAGGCTTTAAGCCTCGGTTTTGTGTAAAATGGGAATTACTCACACCACGTCTCTCACAGGTTTGCGGATAAGCACGAGTAGAAGGTGTTCTGGCTCTTGTCAAGGCTCTGAAATGTCAGAGCTGTTTAAAAGGGAAACGCAGGGAGTTCAGTGGGTGATGCTCCAATTCATATGCTAAGTGTGGCACAACCTTTAGGGTTTCAAACCCACGGTAAGATTTCTACTTCTGGCCATGAGACAGTAACAGGCTGGAATTAACCTCCCAATGTGAACAAAAAGAGAACTGGACAAAATATGGGAAGTAACTATCTTCAGATGTTAGAAAACAGTGCAGGACTGTGATCCCTAAGAGAAGAGAAACAAACGAGACGAGCCCGTGACCAGCCTAGAATTCAGCCCGGAGCCCTGCGAGGACGGCGTTGCAGAAAGGAGGGATCCAAGCAGCGGCCACGCGGCGCTGAGGACCGACTGGAGTTGTGGAGCAGAGGCAGCTGTCGTTCGTGGGGCAGAACACTGGAGAGGGGAAGCTGAGCAGAGGAAGAGTCCAGAAATCTGCACAAGGGTCCCCGTGGATGAAGATTAAGCTGTGCGAGCACAGGGTGAAACCCTGTGTGGCCGGGCAAAGAACCTCTGAGGAGCTGAACAGTTCCCAGAGCCCAAGCAGAGAGAGCTTGTCTGATAACAGCCTGTTCACGGAAACCCCAGAAAGACCGTGCCGTCGAAGTGGGCCACATTCACCCCAGAGTAAAGGCTACTCCAGACAACTCTCAAAAGGCACAAACCATACTCAGGTAACCGCCTTGCAGAAGAAAAACAACGTTCTTGAAAAGAATACAAAAAAAAAATCTAGCACTCAGTAACATAAAATTTATAATGTGCAGCATCCAATAAAAAAATTATAAGACATTCAAAGAATCATAAAAAGAAAAAGTTACCCATAACTTGGAGAAAAATAATTCAATAGAAAAAGACGCAGAAATGAGAATGATGACAGAAATAACAAACAAGACCTTCAAATATCTGTTATAAATTGGGTCTACGTGTCCAGTGATCTAAAGGAAAATACACACATAATGACAGAGAAATGGGCGATCTAGGAGAGAACTAAATGGGACTTCTAGACATGGTAAAACATAGTGTCTGAAATGAAAATTTTATTGAATAGGATTAATGGTAGATGAGATACTGCAAAAGAAAAAATCGATAGCCTTGAATGCACTGCAATAGAATCTATCGAAAACGAAGAGCAGAGAGAAAAAAGACTGAAAAATTTGGGAAGAGCGGCAGCGACCTGCGGGACACGGGCACAGCTGGAGTCCCAGAGGCGAGGGGAGAAGTGGAGGGACAGAAAAAATACATGAAGAAATAATGGACAGATGTCTCTGAATTTGACAGAAGCTAAAAAATCCAGAAATCCAAGAAGCTTAACAAATTCCAGAGAATAAAAACACACAGCTACAGCAAAGCACATCATAATTGTCCAAAACCAGAGACAAACGGTTACACCGGTGGGACGGCGGCTGAGCCTGTGTGCCCGGGAGGGGTGGTAGAGTCTGTGAGTTTTGAAGGTGTATGAAGGTCATTGTGACAAATGTTTTGCAAAAACTCATAGAAGCTGGCAGTGAAAAACCAGGACCACCACTGCACGTGCGGAGCACAGAGGTGGCCGCGGGTGGATGTCCTTCAGCTGTGGTTTTCAAAAGCACTTTGTCGCCTCGAGTGTGGCAGCAACATTTTGGAAGAAGGAAAGAAAAATGTTCAGGAAAACAGATGAACAGAAGCAAGTGATGAAAATGAATGTTTACTTGATGTTACTAATTAACACCACAATAAATTATGTAGAAAATAAAAAAAAAAAAAACCAGAAAGAGAAAATGTAAAAGCAGCCACCGGGGTGGGAGGACACGGTACACACATGGGAACAGAGATGGGAAAGACTGCCGTCTTCTCATCTGAAGCCGCGCACACTGGAAGACGAAGGAATGGCATCTTTCAAGTTTCCATCTTTCAAGGAAAAAACGCAGCTGTCCACCAGAAACTCTGTATTCGCTAAATGATCCCTCAAAAATGAAGGTGAAATGAAAACCCTTTTAGACAGAAGCGGAGAATTCATTACCCGCGACCTGTGCCGTAGGAATGTCACCACGTGGAATCGCAGATCTGCACGAAGGAGAGAGCGGTGCTCAGACGGCAGACGTGCGGTAAGCACGGAAGACTGTTCACTGTCGGCACTTAGAAAGTGAGCATCTGCCGAGAGCACAGACAGCACGGCGCATTCGCGGCGTACGTGCAAGTAGAAGGTCCGGCGATGGTAACTCGAAGGGTGGGAGGGAAGGTGGGAGCCGGTGTGCTGCTGAGAGTCTGATGTCACATGAAGTTGCATGACAGTGATTAGAGGTGTACTGTGATCAGCTGAAGATGCATGTGGTAGATCCTAGAGCAACCGCTAAAAAGTGAACCAAAGTGTAACCAATAAGCCAACAGTAGAGGTAAAATGGAATCCCTAGAACTATTTAATCCAAAATTAGGCAGGAAAAGAGAAAAAGTAACAAAAGCAGATGGGAAAAATTGAAAACAAATAGTAGTGTGGTAGATTTAAACCAGGCACGTCAATCGTTATGTTAAATGCAATTAATGTGAATGGCCTAAACTCCAATAAAAGACAGAGATCATCAGACTGGATATAAAGCAAGACCCCACTATCTGTTAAATATGAGAAAGTCCCTTTAAATATGCAGATAGGTTGACTGTGAAAGGATAGAAAGCTTTTGGTAAGTGAAGGAGCTCCCTGTTGGGTACTCGGTGGGCACCTAACACACATGTGCCTGGCGGTCGCCAGCGGGCACACGGTGGGCACCTAACACACATGTGCCTGGCAGTCGCCAGCAGGCACACGGTGGGCACCTAACACACATGTGCCTGGCGGTCGCCAGCGGGCACTGATGTAACTGGCACGGCTGGAAGAGCGTGGGTCTGTGGATGTGGCCGCTGCACAGCACCCCAATTCCGTGCCTGCCAACGCAGCCCCAGTCCTGGCTGGACCAGTGTCTCGTGTGTGTCCCCGCTAGGCGTCGAGCCTGACTCCATGCCCAGGCTCCACTGAGGTTCTGTCCTTTCCCTCCCACATCCATCCCCACGGAGCCTGCAGCGTGGTCTTTAGGAATGTCGGCAAATGTGACCCTCCCCTGCTTGGGACCCTTCGGTTGCTCCCCATTTCGCGGAGAACAAGCGACAGAGTCTCCTGAGGGTCTCCCAGGCCCCTCACCCTCCGCCGCTCTCCACCTTGCTTGCGTGGCCCCAGCCCTGCTGGCCTCTTCCCCCTTCCCCAGACGTGCCAGGCACGCTCGGACGCAGGGCTTGGTCCCTGATACTGACGGGAGTGTTCTTCCCTCCTGTCCGTCACCACGCTGGCCTGCCCTCCACCCCACCGCTGGCTCTCCTGGTCTCCCCCGTTCGACTCTTTCTTCTTCCCTGGCTCTCAGCACCAGCCGCGGCACCACGTGACACACGGATGCTCTCTCTCTCTCGTCTGTCCCCCCGTCTGGAACGTAAGGGTCCCCAGGGCAGAACTTTGGTCTGTTCTGCTCACTGATGTGGCTGAGCATCTAGAAGAGGGCCTGCACACAGTAGGTGCTCAGCAAGTTTGCTGTTGACTAAATTGGTCGTGTGACCCACCGAGTCACAGAAAGTTAGCAAGAAAGGCCCTGAGAGATAAGCAAGGCAACTCTCCCTCTGCTGCCCATTTTACAGGTGGGGAAACTGAGGCACGAGTGATTTGCCCAGGGACACGTCATGAGTTCATGGCAGAACTGGGACTGATGTTCTCACATGCTGTGCGTTTTCCAGGGGGCTCTAAGGAAGGGACGAGAGGAAGGTCGTGTCCATGAGAGCTTGCCCTCCACCGGGGCTGGGGCCGGGCTGCTCCGGGTGTGGGGAAGGCAGGCCCGCGGGCAGGGAGCCCGGGCTCGGCTCCTCCTCAGCCACTGCCCCCGAGCTGCATGGACCTGGGCGGTTATTCCGTCTTTCTGCCTCCCTCTCCCGCTGTGTCACGTGAAGGGAACTGGCGGTCACAACAAGTCCTTTGTGTGACTGTGACCACATCCCTGCTCAGGGCTGGGTGGGCCAGACTCTGAGAAAGCACTTTGAAAAGTCAGGAACACGCTCCGAGTGCGGCAAGGCTGAGGACAGGAGCCAACTTACATGTGGTGACAGACGCCTCCCTCCCAGACCGGAAAGGACTTTGTCTCGGAGAACAGCCGCGTGCAGGGGCGGGGCACCTTCTTACAGGCTGTGGCCAGAGGAGAAGGCGGATGAGGAGCTGCCTGCTGCGGCTGCTCTCCCCCCACCCCCCACGGGAGGCCCCTGCCTGGGCCCGGGGACTGCACCGGCTGCTTCCTGAGCCAGACGCCCCATCCCCAGGGTGCTCGCAGCCGTGGGCCTCCGTGGCCGGGGCCATCCTTGCAGCCCACAGCTGGTCCCTCTGAAGGCAGGAGGGGCCTCGGGATTAAAAGATGAGGGTGGGAGCCCCCCCACCTCTCGTGCTCAGACCAGTGTTGCTCCTTCTCCCCCGACCCCACTGCCCTCCCCTGCAGCTGCCCCCCTCGTGCGGGGCTGTTCTGAGGCCCGTTACCGGCGGCACCTTCCGTCTGGTTCTCCAGCGGCAGTGCCATCCCCGGCGGCTCACAGGTCATCTGTGAGGTCCCCCCCACCCACCGGCCTCCCTGCCTGGCACTCAGAAGTCTCAGGCCCTGTCCTGGCGTCTCACCATCTGGAGGCCCCCATGGCAAACCCACCCGTGGCCTGGTGGTCCTGGGGCCGAGCCACCGGTTGTCACGACGGGTGTCCCGAGGCCAAGCCCTGACTTACCGAGCTCGCAGCGCCTGCCTTTGAACCCCGGCCCGCAGTCGCAGCGGTGGGTGCCGGCGCCCGGCACACAGGTGCCTCCGTTCCGACAGGGGTTTTCTGAGCAGTTCCCCGGGGCATCTGGAAACAGAGGCCACGGAGTTTAGTCACTGGGACCCCCAGGGAAGGCCCGCTCACAGGGACCTGTCGCTGTCTCCTCCGTGCCCTGACCCGACCCGAGATGCAGGGCGGCCGCTGTCTCTGCAGTGACAGGCCTGTCCCCCTTCCCACTGTGGCTCCCAAACACCGCTGGGCCCTACAGGGTGGTCCCATTTCAGGAGTATGAAGAGAGCAGAGGGGAAAAGACAGGCCTCAGCATGCCCAGCCCTGGCCTCATGACAAGGAAGGCAGGGAGGGAGGAGTGGGGAGCAGGACCCTCGGTGCCGAGCCCCCACTGGCCTGCGGCCCCCGCCTGCTTGCTGCTGGCTTTGTCCCCACACAGGGTTTCTCCCACTGGGAACCTGGACCCACTTGGTCCTCCAGCCCCAGGCAGCCTCTGGGCGGAGCCGGCTATGTCTTCAGGACGGCGGTGCCTGGGCCCCACAGCTCCCTCACCTCACTCTGGCGTGAGCGCGTCATTTTTTCTAGCTTTGTCAAGATCCCTGTTGTTTTACTTTCTAACTTAAAAACACTGAGAAACAGGAGGGTGAGAATTGCGTCTGCCCCACGTCATCTAACACCGAGCCGGGCCAGCCCCCCACCTAACTCGGCACCCCACTGTGAGTGCCGTCCCAGCACTGGCCCTCGGTGTCTCTCCGGGCTGGTCCCCTCCTTCCTCTCTGGGTCTGTTTCCCTTTCTCCTTTCTCCCCCCGCTTTGTCCCCTGGGACTGTCTTTATCTTTTTGTCTTTCCTGATGTGCTGAAAATGAGTCGTGGGCCTTAAACAAAACCTTTTATTGTGAAAATTTTCAAAGCCAGGACATGTGAAGTATGAAGAACCCCCCCCCCACCACCACCCCGCACTCCGCTTCGGTGGTGACAAAACTGGCCAGTCCTGTCTGCTTCCATCGCTCGTCCCCCTGTCTTGCTCTTGCTGAAGACTCAAAGCAGTTCAGACACACTCACCATTTCCCCTGTGAACACCCCGGGAGGTATCCGATACTTCACGTAACCGCAATGCTACATTATCAATTAGCAGTAGTTCCTCAATGTCGCGTGATGTCCTAGACCATGTTCACATTTCTCCCATCATCTTAAAATGTCCTTCACAGCTGGTCTAATCCAGGTGGGGCTGAGCTTGCAGAATCAACAGCTTGCCTTGATGTATCTCGAATCTCTCTTAACCTACGCCCTTCAACCTTCTCCCTCTCTATTTACTGAACAATCAAGGTCATCTGTCCTTAGAGTTCCTCTCCTGGTCTGACCCGTTGCGTACTTGTGGCATCGACTTTTTCCCGCCCGCGTTCCCTGTCAATTTGACAGAGCCAGTCGGATCCAGGTTCGGAGGGTCTCTGCAGGGCTGCCTTACGCGGAAGCTCAGGCACCGCCAGCCACGCCGGGCTGTGGGATGCGTCTGAGTCCCGCTCTGGTGATGTGAGGCCTGATCAGTCCGCAGTAAAGTCCCCACAGGCCTTGGTCGCGCCTGTGGTTGGAGCAGCCATCGGGGTCCCTGATCCGAGGTCCGTCCCCTCACCAGGTCTGACTCTGCCCTGGCCAGCTGCAGAGTCATCTGAGAGGACAGGCTTTCCTTCAGCCCCTCAGGGCCACCCTGAACTGCGGGCCTCACAGTTCAGGCAGGAGTGTGCACGCCTTCTCCTTCGTGAGTACGCCTGCAGATGCATCGGTCCCCAGCACGCTCTAGAGTTGACCGACAAGCTGTTCCTTCTTGCGAGCGTCATGGTGACCATGTCGATTCCTGTGTACTTGACGGGTTTCAGCACGTTGCCGTCACTGGTTTTCTTGATGCTCAAATTATTCCATCTCTGGCCGGGAGCAGCCCTTTCGGGTTGGCTGCTCTGTCCTCTGGACACAGTCCCGGTTGTTTCTGAAGCTTGCTTTCTACACAGTGTGTCCTGGGATTGCTTTGTCCAATCCTGCTTCAGTCTCGGAATCAGCCGTTTCTCCAGAGATCCCGGTTCCTTTGTGAGAGCAAAGCCCGGAGCTCGCAGTCTGGGTGCTCATGGCGCGCACTGCTGCTGGGGCGTCACCGCTCCAGGAACAGGACTGGGAAATTCGATTTTCAAAACGCAGACCAACCATGTGTTTATACCAATATTTCCAGTCCAAATAACAGAATTAAATTAAAAAACAAGGTTTTTAACTTCCTTGATTTTATATTTTTATTTCTTTACGCTGAAAATCTTGGTGGCATCAACGTAATTATTTTCTTCATCCTGCAATATACATGTACTAGTTTCAGAATAACAATACCAGTATCACTGTTGACTTCAAGATCACTGAGGGCAGCTAAAATGTCCCGGCAATGCTTTTCATCCTTAGACTCTGTCCCGCGGGCGGTGAGTCGTTAGACCGCTCCGTTAAAACTGCTTGAGAGGCCGGGCGCGGTGGCTCACGCCTGTAATCCTAGCACTCTGGGAGGCCGAGGCGGGTGGATCGCTCAAGGTCAGGAGTTCGAGACCAGCCTGAGCAAGAGCGAGACCCCGTCTCTACTAACAAATAGAAGGAAATGATCTGGACAACTAAAAATATATATATATAGAAAAAATTAGCCGGGCATGGTGGCGCATGCCTGTAGTCCCAGCTACTCGGGAGGCTGAGGCAGAAGGATTGCTTGAGCCCAGGAGTTTGAGGTTGTTGTGAGCTAGGCTGACGCCATGGTACTCAACTCTAGCCCGGGCAACAAAGCGACACTCTTGTCTCAAAAAAAAAACTGCTTGAGAGGCTGCTTTTCCCCGCACGGTTATGCCGTCAGCACGATAAATGGGTTCATTTGTTTCAGTTTGTTTTCAATTTTTAGGTGTTGCCTTTTCTTTTTGTTCTTTTAATAAACATTTTCTTGGTTCTAAGGTCAGAACTATAAGACAAGGGACGTTCAGAGAAGCCCTGTCCTTTCCTTCCCCATGTAGTTAACCATTTCATTAGTTTTATTTCTCTTTAAGAAAAAATTCATATTTCCCTTCTCCATTTTCCTGCACAAAAGACAACATACTGAAAATCCTGTTCTGCGCGTCACTGTTTAAAACCGCCTCTACTGAGATGTCACTTCTGTGACGAAGTTTGCCCATTTAAAGTGTACAGTTCATCAGTTGTCAGTGTCTTCATGGACACACGCGTCCATCGCCATGATTTCAGAACATTTTCGTCACCTCAGAAGGAACCTCGTACTGTGGCTGTCACCACTCCACATGCCCAGCCCAGTCCTAACCAACCACTTTCTGTCGCTGCGGATGTCCCTGTTCTGGACTTTCACACGAAAGGAGTCATGTCGTATGTGGTTTCTCGTGACTGGCTTAGCATGTTTGCAGGGTTCACCCGTGTCCCGGCGTGTATACTTCATTCCTTTCTCTCTGGTGGTCGAGCAGCGTCTATGAAGTGGGTGCGCCGTGCTTGGTTTTCCATTCGTCAGCGACGCACATTTTGGCGGTTTCCACTTTTTGCTACCGTGTTATGCTGCTATGAGCATCTGTGCACAGAGCCCGCGTGGACGTGTGTTTTCATTGCTCCTGAGCACACACCTAGGGCTGGGTTCTTTTAATACTGGAGGAGCGGCCCATCTGTTCTTCCCAAAGCCGCCGCACACTTCACATTCCTGCCGGCGGTGGATGAGGGTCCTGGTTCCCCACATCCTCACCGAGGCCCACTGCCATCTGGCTTCGCGGTTCCAGCCGACCTATGGGTGCAGGGTGGCATCTCCCGACGGCTTCCACTTGTGTTTCCTGCTGACCTGTGGTGCCCAGTGCCTGTTCGTGAGCTCACTGGCCATCAGCGTGTCTTCCTCGGAGAGTGTCTCTGTAGGTCCTTGCCCGTTTTTAGATTGGGTCGTATTTTTATTACTCAGTTGTAGGAGTTCTTTATATATACTAGGTACAAGTCCCTCATCAGATACATGGTTTGCAGATATTTCCTCCCATTCCATGGGCTGTCTTTTCATTTCCTTGACGGTGTCCTTTGAAGCGTAAAAGTTTTAAATTTTGATGAAGAGCAGTTTATCTTTTTGTTATTATTGCTCATACTTTTGTTGTATCTAAGAATCCTCTGCCAAATCCAAGGTCATGAAGATTTATTCATGTTTTCTTCTAACACGATGTTTAGCTCCTAACATTTAGGTCTTTGGTCCATTGTGTTCATCTGTGTATGAGGTAGGGGTCCAGCTTCGCTCTTTTGCATATGGCCGATCAGCCGTCCCAGCACCGTCTGTTGAGAAGACTGTTCTTCCCCACTGAACGGTCTGGGCCCCCTTGTCAGAACCAGCTGCCACAGGTGTGTGGTTTTGCTCCTGGACTCTCAGTTTCATTCCACTTATCTAAACGCCTATCCTGAAGCCGGAGCCACCGCTGCTTGATCACCATTGCTCTGCACTGCGTTTGACCCTGGGAGGTGTGAGTCCTCCTCTTTGTCAGAATTACTTTTGCTATTCTGGGTCCTGTGCAATTCCGTATGAATTTTAGACACTACACAATTGTCCAGAGACATCTCACAGCAGCCCTACAGAACACCGCTGTGTGCGAAGTATTTGTCGTCAGTCCTCACCCCGTGGATGGGGCAGCCACGCCGCAGAGATTGTGACGGATACTTGCGCCATTCTTCACCGCTGGGGCCCTGAGCCCCAGCTCATGAGCTGCAGGGCGGGAGGTTCCCAGAGAGCTGTAGCCTCACCCTGTGCCGCTATCGCTACCGAGTCCTGAGTGTTTCACACACTCACACAGACATAAAAACACGGAGAAGGCCGTTTTGGGTGGGTGGGGGCAGTGGGCTGCTCCTGTACCAGGAAAAATTGCAGAGCAAAGTGGCCTGAGCTCTGCCCCTGCCTGTGCTGCCTGCAGATGGCTGCCGCCTGTCCCGGGTGGCAGCCACCAAGACTGAGACCACTGGCGTCGGTGTCTGGGGGAGAAAACCGGGACAGTCAAGAGCCCTGCCACGTGAAGCTGGGGAAAACGGGAATGATCTGACTGGGCTCAGCACTCACTGCTTTGCTCCAGACCTCCTGGGTGTACGATCCCGGGAACCCACCTCCTGTCCCTGAGCTTCTCCCTCAGGCTCGAAGGTGCAGCCCTGACCTGGATCGTCGCTAGGTGAGGAAATGCCACTCAGGAGTGTTAACTGTGATTTGGGGGTTCTGGGGTGCTTTGGGGATCCTCTTTCCTTGAGAAAGAAAAGTCTAACAGCCTCTAGGGAGAAGGAGGAGATTATCCTACAAGGAAATAGGAACAAGATTGGCAGCAATACTGGACACAGATGACGACGGACTGGTATTTGAAGAACTGAAGGAGAAAGGAATTCAAACCTAGAATTTCATACCTAGCCAAACTAACCTTCAAGTGTGAGTGCTGCTCATTTTAAAGGCACACAGGGCCTCAGAGATGTGGCCAAGTAAAGTCTCAACAAGTACTTAGTGGAACTTGACAGTCTGATCCTGAAGTTTCACTGATGTGCAAAGGTCCCAGAATAGTTGAGACTCTTGGAGGGCAGGGGGGCTGGCCCCACAGCAGAGCAAGGACGACTAACGCCACCGTCATGGCAATGGTTGGTGTTGGCTCGAAGAAGGCAAAACAGCAGAACAGAAGCGTGAGCCCAGAAAGGGACCCAGCGTGTGCGGACACTCGACTGACAGCACGGACAGCCCCGCAGAGCTACGGGGGAAGGCGGCTGGCACAGGGCTCTGGGGTGCAGGTGTCCACAGGAAACAGAACTAACTTCTCCTTTATCTAGTAACAAAATCGGGTCTGAGCTTAGAAGGCAAACAAGTAAGCCTTTAAGAGATACGATTCTATACATATAAAACCCCAGAGAATCTATGACAGGAACAGGAGAGCTTGGCAAGATGGTTGGATACAGTATGCAAAGGTAAATACATATCTGTACTCCAGTAATAAATAATCAGGAAATATAATTTTTAAAAGTATATACTGGCCGGGCGCAGTGGCTCACGCCTGTAATCCTAGCACTCTGGGAGGCCGAGGCGGGTGGATCCTTTGAGCTCAGGAGTTTGAGACCAGCCTGAACAAGAGCAAGACCCCGTCTCCACTAAAAATAGAAAGAAATTATTTGGACAACTAAAAATCTACATAGAAAATAATTAGCCGGGCATGGTGGCGCATGCCTGTAGTCCCAGCTACTTGGGAGGCTGAGGCAGTAGGATTGCTTGAGCCCAGGAGTTTGAGGTTG